ATGTCTCTTGCTAGTCGGTTGGCTTTAYTAGAGTTGAATGCTTTCCTTGGTTTAAATTCTTGGTCATCGCCATCAAGTAAGTCATCTTGGTGTAAMCCTRTRTCATCTCCRTTTTCTTCTTCACCTTGATCAAACCATGTCTCCTCGTCTTCTTCCATAGCGCGYGCATCACGTCGAAACCGACTATTAACATGAATAATTCCATGATTGGGACCCCTGACAATGGAACTGTCATCCAGAACGGTTAGTTGGTCATCTCTGAATAAATCGAAGAAATGTGCTTTAATTGGGAATTAAGGGCCTGGGTGTATGAGTAGGTACAAGTGGTGGACTGAACAAGATGTTCAAAGCAAGAACATAATGATTGGTGGGAGAGTTGAAGAGCATGTTTATACGACATAAGTACGATTATTAACGCATCACATTTGAGATATTTGAATTATGAGCCATGGAAGGGGTAATCGTGTACTTTATGGCCATTCTACAAGTAGTGATTGTTGGCTGATGTTTGAGTAACAGGCAGTCTGGTCGATGGATGACCAATGACATGCTTCCTGATCATAAAGTACACAACTACCTGAGTAGCCACTGCCGTCTCGTATAGCTGCTAAATCAATAAAAACATTTCCTGTTACAACATTTAAAACAAGCAGATGAGAAGTCCTGATTAAAGACAGGGCTTTCAGAATAAGGTGGCGGCCACTGGAGCTCTGGCGATTGCTTCAAAATTAACTGCTTGCTACTTTATCTTTTCTATGAAATATCTTCTTTTCCTTGTATCAGATTCCAGCGAGCTACTTCAGACTTCTGTCCATCTACTTCAAAACATTCTGAAAGCCCTGATAGAACCATTGCGTGTTTAGACGTTTATCATACCTGTCTATTTTATTGTTTTGTTTCCTGTCTTTCTCCTGCTCCATTCTCAAGAGAAGTCCTTTGAATGTGCTTACATAGTCTACATCCTTAAAGAACTGGTAATATTCCTCACATACGTATGTACACAAAGACTTGATGTCCTCCTGCAAGAGAGAACAGTCAGTCAGTCAGATTGTCAATTAGCCAGGCAATCAATTAATCAATATGTCATTCTTTCAGTTTATCAGTCAATCAATGTGTCAGTCAGTCATGTCTGTCAATCATTGTCAGTCAGTCCATCAGTTGATGTGTCTGTCAATCAATGTGTCAGTCAGTCCAT